GAGAATTAGGGACTGAAACGGCAGCCCACGTCTGCCAGCGGGATCCCGGCAGCGGGTCCCACCGAACACGGTGTCCTCTGGCTTGTGCCAAGGTCTCAGGTCTGTGCTTGGAGCACGGGAGATCAGATGCTTGGATTTTGCAATGCTGCCTCCCTTGGCATCCCCTGTCTCCGCGGGGGAAACCCTTGCACAGCCTGGAGCATCCTCCGCAGAGCACAGGGATGCTGGGGATGATAAACTGGGATCCCTGCTGGACATGGATAACCCAGGATCCCTGCCAGACACGGATAACCCATAACCCAGATAATAGTAATAGTAATAGTAATAATACTAATACCAATACCAACACTAACGCTAACACTAACACTAACACTAACACTAACACTAATACTGATGATGATGATGATGGAGCTGGCAGTGCTGGGTTAATGATTGGACTCAATGATCTCAAAGGTCTTCTCCAAGCCAAGTGATTCGATTAAGAGGGTTCGGAAGGGAGCTCACCCCAAAGGGACCTGGGGATGTGGCTGTGCGGGGGGAGCAGTTTTGGTTGTGCACAACTCTATCCAAGACCGGTGGCTGTGGCTGAGGTCTGACAAACTCAGCACTCTCAGTCAGGTGCTGTAGCTGCCATGCAGATGGGGATGTCACAGCTCCTGCTGACATCCCAGGCATTGCCCCTGCAGCTCCACGACCCACACATGGGATTTCCCAGCCTCTCGTCCAGTTTATGCCACTCCTCAGGGTCTGGGGCAGAACGCGGGTCCCAGCACCCATCGGCTTCCCCTGCCCTCTGCTCCTGGAGCTCACCTCTCTGTGTGCCACTTCTGCTTTGGAGATTGGACATCACCCGTCCCACACAGCATGAAGAGACAACTCCACACAAAATAGCCATGACGCCAAGCTAACGAGCCCTGTCCCACACCAGCGTTTTGGAAAACACTCGTGTTTAAAGGAGGTGAGTCTGGGGACAGGACAAACCCAGTGGTCAGCAAAGGGACTGGATGTCTGCTATGGTTCAGTTGTCTCATCACCCAATGCCTCCTCTCCACCTGGGGAAGGGGTGATACCAAAAATTACAGCTTCAAAATGAGTCTTGGAGAGTTTCTGTGAGTTTTAGAAAGCAGGCATTCTTTATTACAGCACCAGAGATGCGGGGAATGAGTTTCACCTAGCATGTCTGCTTACAATTGAGTACCTACAGTTTACATAGAGCAAAACCATACTTATTCATCATATTTCCTAGCCAAAAACTGCCTTATGATAATGGGTTAACCCAGTTACGCACTATTGATTTGAGTCAGTGGTCTTCAAGGGTCGTACACCTGTATCCTTCTGTAGAACCCAAAGCACATGTGGATTTTGAGAGACGGTAGAAAATTGGGCACCTGGAGAGGCTTTTATTGTCCAGGTACTTCAGAAAATTCCATCACCACCAGGAGACTTGATCCAGGTCTGCTCATCGACTCCTGTTAGGAGACTTTCATTCAATCGAAGTCCCTCAAACCAAGCCCGCATTTCCTCTCTACGACTTGCAGGTATAGGTTGCTAATCAACCCCCGTCAAAGATATAGGTCTTAAATCCCGTATTAAACCCTTCAGGGATATAGCTCTTAAACCCTGTATCACGGGGTCGAGGAAAGGGAAGGAGATTGGTGGGTTGAAGTAGAAATAAAAAAATATATCAAAATATTTTTTAAAAATATTTTAAAAAAACCCC